AGGAGGGAGAGAAAAGAGAGAGGGGAAGAAAGAGGGGCAAAGAGAGAAAAGGAAAGGAGAGGAGAAGGAGGGGGAAGAGGGGAGGGAGAGAGAAAGGAGAGAGAGAGAGGAGAGACGGGGGGGGGGAGGGTGCGGAGGGGGGCGCTCTCACTATGTAGTTTTGGCTGACCTGGAACTCACTATGTAAACTTGAATTCAAAGATCCACCTGCTTCTGCCTCCCAAGTGATGGGATTAAAGGTGTGTGCTACCACATCCAGCTTTTCAACAAGTTTTGAATTCTATGGTGTCCATAATAACACATGGACGTTCCTTGAGAATCTAAAACCACACCATGCCCATTGTCCACAGAAGGGTCCAACCTGAAGGAGAGCTGCTAGCACTTGCAAGATTCCTCCTTGTTGGGTTCTGTTAACATGTTGCGGTCCCAGCTGCCTCAGGACAATCCCTTATGCCATGCGAATATTTACATACTATGGATGGATTCACTTAGCACCCTCTCTGATCTGTGAGCTCCCCACAGTGAGCAGAAATGAACCCACAGCAATCAACACCTATCTTCTGAGGCTGGAAAGATTGATTCCAGATCACCAGAGGGTTACAATCAGGCCACCCTGTCCTTCAGGGTTCTGCTGTGACCTGGGGCCAGCAAGGTCCTACAGAAAACATGGAAGTTTAATTTGGGGGTGGTTCCTCCCTCCTGGAGCTTGGATGGAACAGGAGCCTTTGCCAAGATTCTGCCAGCACAAATCAAGGGTTGGGAACACGCTGATACTGTAACTAGATTGGGATCAACCAAAGACAGAGATACACACTTTAAGGCTACTAGCATCAAGGTGGGGGGCCCCACAGAAAGACCTTCCTCACCTCCTAGATGTGCAAGCAGTAACGTCAGGTCTAGCTGTAAATGTCATCCCGAGGTCATCTGGCCCATTTCATTTTTTCATGGTAGAGTTACACACCAGTCAGTTCGAGGATTATAAAAGACACATCATTCTCTCCCAGAATAAACCCAACCTGTGAGGCTCTGATGTCTTTTTCCAGTCTGTCAGGAGGTGGGGGAGCTGCAAGGTCTCTTTATTAAGCTCCCCAGAAAACAGTGTGCCACCACCTTGTCATTTACACCAATTCAACTAGCAGAGTTCCCATTCCATCCATAACTAGACCCTGTGGCTGCTGCTTGGGATCAGTCTTTTTGCCCCTTTCTAGTGGACAACATGGCACCCGCAGCTGGCCAGCAAAGGCTGCTTGCCTTTTGTACCTGGATTAATTTATCTTTAACCCTGAAAGTCAGTCCAGAGAATGAGGCGTGCCCCCACTGCTCCAATTCGACACCCTCAGATGGGGACAGAAGACTAGCCACATGGTCCCTGGCCTTGTCCTAGGACAGCTGCCATGGGATGGTTTCTCTGTCCAGGATGCTGTCCTTGAGGAGCACTGGAATCTGAGTGGGGCTGTGGAGGGCATGGGAAAGACTTGGAGAGACCCTTGTTCCTTAGAACTGGCTGGAGGAACTGCTGTGGATGGTGAGTAACACGGAGGCTTAGCCCTGGGGCATTAAAACCTCTGCCTCCCAGGCTTGAGGCCAAACCTCAGCATGCGGGGATACAGGCATGGGTGAACATCCAGGTGTCCCAAGGAATCAAAGACGGGTTTGGTGCCCACAATTCCTCAGGTAACAAGGACTCCACCTCTGCCTTCTGTCTCTGGCCTCATGGTGACACCCTTCCCATGGCTGCCACCTCTAGGTGCCCTCTGTAGATGGTTGAGGTCATCCACCGAGCTCTGCCCTGCTTTGTCCCTCCATGTCCAGCCACTCGGCATTAGTGAAAAAGACCTCCAAACCCTCTCTCTCTCTCATTTTCCTAAAAGGGAAAAAGGGGCTGTCATTCAGTAATTAAAAACAGTTCTGTGCTGGTGACCAGGATTGGGCACAGCTTCCCTGCATCAGCAGCTGAGACCAGCCCCTCCCACATGCACTCCCAAATCCGGTGATCGATCCCCTCACAGGCAGCAACTGGGCTTTGAGGGGGGGGGGGCGTGGAGTGTGAAACCAAGCAGGGCCCCAGCCTTCGGGTAGGGCTGAGCCTACTCAGGATGAGGTCAAGACCCGCTCATCTCTAATAACTCAGGCCAAGGCGAGCAGATGGGTGTGGCGGAGGGTGAGGCAGAGAGGGGAATGGCAAGGGGAATGGGGCATTCAGCTCTGGGCCACACCACCGATGGACTGGTGCCTGGGAATATGCCAGGCCTGCCTAGCAGCAGGCTCCCTGCCCACCGCTCAGATTCTAGCATGCTAGCACGCACAGGAGGGCGGCTGTCCGCTAGATGCCCGTCTCCATGGAGACCAGCTTTCCCATCTCCATTTCCTGCCCATTGCTTTGGCTCTTCTCGGGGAGGGCGATGGCACATCTATATGAGTGCACAGAAGGAGGCTACAGCGTTCTTGGCCCAGCCCTCCAGCTGCCCCGTGCCCCCCAGGACCCTGGCTCCTCGGCTCTAGGCCTGGTGGGACCAAGCCACACCCTGCCACCCGTCCTTTCCAGCTGCGGGCCAGCGAGATCTGATGCCAGGGCCTTAAGTGCGGCCCTTCCCATTCACGTGCTGCTGAATCATTTGAAAAAAATGCGTCCCGCTCCTGGGAGGGTTTGCTGAGAACAGTGTGGCTTTGTGGAGGAGGCTGCTGCTCGGCAGTTTCTCCGCCAAGGAGCCAAGGGCCTCGAGGAAGCCAAGCTCAGCTCTGCAAATCCCAAACCCGGGTAAGCTGGGCAGTAGCCTGGCAGGGCTGGAGGCAGAGAGAGCCTAGAGAGGTCCCTGGGGTATTCTGCCCACCCCTGTAAGCCATCTCCACACAGCCCCGAGGAAGGGGCTGGGGGGACATGACAGCAGTGGAGGATCAGGATCTTTTTTTCCACAGTGGAGGGCCAGCGGTCATCTTTCTTCATCCACCCGTTTCCAGGAGCAAATCTAAGGTGACCTGTGACCTCTGCTTCAGCGCTTAGCACTGACAAGCCCTGCCCATGAGTGGGGCACTAGGGCTTAGGGCTATGAGTAGAGTCAACAAACCATGTCTGAAGGGAGGACAGGAGGACGTGGGTTCCCACTCCTAGTCCCTCATTGGTACAGCCTCCACCACCATGCCATGGTGTATGGGAGGACATTCAGGACAGCTCTCAAGTCTCCAGGCAGATGGTCCGGGACCTGCCACTTCCCCAGCCTGGCTCCTCTCGTGACTGGCTGGAAGCCGGACCCTGTCTGGTCTCAGAGGTCTGCACTGACCTCTTGTCATTTCCTACTTGTTGGAGGGACACTGCAGGTTAGAGAAGGTCCCTGCCCCACTCCCAATTTCACACCCCTATCTGAAACCCATCCTCTCTCAGAGGTATGAAGTCCTGGATGCTGCCTGTGCATGGGGTTCAGTGGGGACAGGTGGCTGAACCAATTGTGCGTCCACAGCATCATCATGATCATGACTGAACGGTTCAGCCAGTGTGGTACCGAGCAGGGCAGGGAAGCCGATTGGCTGTGTCTGCATCTCTCACCTGTTGGACACTCTGGGCATGCCCCACCCTGTGGACAGTGGTATTGATGCTGTCCTTCAAACCTCTTGGGCAAACACGATGCCTGTCCACCACTTGGTCAGCCCCAGATGTGTCTTGAGTCCATGTAGACTGGAGAAGAGGCATGAAGCAGACACACACAGAAGTAGCTTGATGGCCAGGATCCTGATAAATGCGGTCCCTAGCAGGAATAAAGATCCTGCACCTGCCTTCCCACGTGAGTACAGACACAAAGTCAGGGAGCAGCTCAAGGGTGCACAGTGCTCTGCAGAGGTATGTGGGAGAGAGCCTGGGTTCTCCTGCTTCTGGGCAGAAGCTACACACACCTTCCAGTGTACTTGCTCACTACTCTGCATTTCAGTCAGCTGGAGACTGGACCAGGCAGCCTGTAGACCTGGAGTATGAATACTGCCCTCCCCGCCCCCGGTCAGAACTGCCATATGTGAACTAATGTTTCAGGAAGGATTTGAGCGGTGCCAGCAGGAGTCAAAATTGCCCCCCCCCTTTGAATACTTGTGTCAAGAATGAGGGAGTTGGTGACAGAGATGGCTGCAAGTTGGGCACGAGGGGAGGAGATAGAGTGTCAAGGTTGGAGAAGGTTAGAGCATTGGCCCCTTGGGTACCAGACTCTTCATTCCTGTCACTGTCTATAGGACACAAGATCCCTGTGGAAGCTCAGGGGTGAGAAGAGTGGAGGGGGCGGGGAGACTCCAGGTTGCACCTGAGGACTTCCTTTGTGTTGCCACTCAGACGTCCTGATGTGAGTGAAAGAGTGAAAACGGGGTCTACGCAGACTTCCGAGCCTCCGAGGGTGAGGTGGGAAGTAGCCATGATAGCTCCTTAGGGAGTCATTGGGAAGTTATATTCTTCGGGTGAGGAGATCCTCAGGATTGGACACACTAGCCACACCACTGACCCGGGCTAAGGCTTTCCCACCCCTCTTTAGCCTTCTATAAGACATGGGGAGAGGGCAGGGTATCTTCTCATCCTGACTACCAAGGGATAGTGTAGGTGTTACTGTCCGGGCAGAGATGAGTCACCCTCCACCGTGTCTCAACGCCCATCCCTACACCTACTTTTAGCTCAAGTGTAGCCAAGAAGGAGCGATTCCTTACTCAGAACGCGGGCCACAAATACCATCTTTGCACATGGAAACAAAAACAATGGGCTCCGGGAAGATGCGTCTGCTCACTGGGCTGTGGCTTCCAACTAAGTCGGGAGGCTCAGTTACACAATGTAAGGCTCAGTTGTGACCACAGCTTTAAGCTAAGAGGTGCCACAAACACACACACTACTCTTCGGGACAGAGGTGATGCTGCAGGGTGTCCAGACAGCCCTGAGCAACAACTGACAGTCAGGCACCGTGTGGGAACAAAGTACAATGACAGAGAAACAAAAGGCAAATCTCAAACCCTGAGAGAGAGAGTCCAGCCAAATGAGCAGCATGGCAGAGGAAGCCTCAGGTTCAGGATGCTCAGAACCACACACAGGGCCAGTGTTTCACATCTTGCTATAGGCCTAGCCCCTGGCCAACGCTCGCCACACAAGGCTACTCGTCGCTTGTGTTTTCTGCTAGCCACAAGTTACATGGCCCTCATGTGCCACCCAAGGCTTACCTCCTGGGACAGAGCTGTGGACAGGGTCAGGGACAGAGTTTGGTACTCAGTATAAGTGAAAAAGTGTCAGGAGAGCAGATGAATCTCTTTCAGGAGAGATGGCGCCAACGGGAAGCAGAGGGGTGGTGAGCGGAGCCCACCCACCTACGCCCCAGCTGCACGTTTTCATTTGCAGCTTCCAAAAGCGTTTTAAACAAGAGCTGGTGCCAAGGCTGGGGTTAGATTCTGAAAGCGCGTCTCGGCACCAGACCTGATCCAAATGCGCTGGCGGCACAGCCTCTCTTTCCAGAAAGGGGCACAGACGCAGCTGGGATCCTGGAAGACAGGCTCGGACAGTCCACGAGATGATCCTGCCATGGGGAGGGTGAGCAAGCAGAGGTTCTGGACTTGTGGCTGGACATCAAGAGCTAGACCACAGCAGGGAAGAGGAACCTCAACCCCAAGGAAAAGCACCCATGACCGACCGTGTTCAACGCACATGTGTATGTTGAAGGGCTCAGCAGGTGCATGTCTAAGACATGAGAGATTAGGAAAGATAATCAATACATGGCAGAGAGCCTGCTTTTGGCTCCTCCTCCCACCCAGGTTGTGGGTTTGGCTGACATACTTAACATTGTTCATTATATTATCTACCAAACACTTAGGAGATAAATATAGCCCTTTATGGACCAATATTTCTAATGAGTCATGATCAAATATGATCAATCAAGGTATCTGGAAAAAGGCCGTGAAAGAAAGATGGGAGGAGGAAGGGAAGAAATGAAAAGAGCTCCAGAAACTAACAAAGAGCCAGTCAGCAACCACTGTCTTAGCCAATCAAATCTCATTGTACTTGGCCACGCCCACTCATGACTACGTGCTCTAAGGCAGACCCCACTCCCACCAATGCCTCGACTGCAGTGTTGGGGATTGAACCTAGGGTCTCATGCACACTGCTCTAAGCCTAGCCGTTCCACAGCAGCTTTGGGGCTGCAGAAATAGAGCCCAGCAGTGGCCAGAGGCTGATTGGCAGAGAAAGCGCTTTCACCCTCTCGGCTCTGCAGAGAAAACTATGTTGGCTACTGCCTACCTGGTATGAGCTCCCCACAGCCAGGTGGCTGCTGGTTCAGAGTGATCCCCAATCTATCCAACATGTGCTCCCCACAGCCAGGTGGCTGCTCGTTCAGAGTGGTCCCCAATCTATCCAACATGTGCTCCCCACAGCCAGGTGGCTGCTGGTTCATTTTGAAAAGCTAAGAGCAGTAAACTTAACACCCAGGTCTTCCCTCCCACCCCCACCCATCAGCATTGGCCCCATCATCACTGGGTGACTCTGTCACCCAGCTGGGCGGGGGTTTGCCTGCTCCCCCCACCCATAAAGGTTCTAAGAATGCATACATTGTGAAACAATGTTGGCTTTGTCTTTTGGTGTGCAGCCGCCTTCTAAAGGAGAGAGGTTTAGCTAATGGCTCTGACACTGTCTCAGCCAGAGGCCAAGCAAGCAATGATGTATCTTTTGAAACTGCGCCCGACTGACCCTGAATGCCCCTGAAAGCCCAGGGTTTGGCTAAAACATCTCAAGAGCTGATTCTACCTGGGGTTTCCATTAAGTACACACAGCCCATAAAAAACAGACTCCATCTGCAGAACGTGGGATAGACTCGCTCTCTGGACCCCACAGGGATTCTGCTTCTGCGGGAAGGAGTTTGCCAAGATGGTGAATAAACAGACTTAAGAGATACAGGCATGGTGCAGGCAAAGCAGCCATCAGGGATGTATTTATCTCGGGTGGGTCTGCCTTTAAAATGTCTTTTGAAACTCTTGCAAGCGTTTCCTGGCTTTATCCAAAAACTGCTTGTGTAACTTGTTTTGCTCTAAAATCTGCTGCTGGAGGTCACGGATCATCTGGCTCTGTTTGTCCTCGTCAAGAAGGCCATTGTTCAGGGAAGTGTTTTTGTCAGAGGCTAGGGCCGGGACCCCAGTGGAATAAGACTTGAGGAGAGCCAAACGCATCCTTCTGCGTTCCCTGCGTTCTTCCTCTAGCTCAGCCTTGTAATGGATTTCCAAGCTCATGTTGGGGTGCTCTGTCAGCTCCAACAATGTCTTTTGCCTTTTCTGCTCCAACTCTGCCTTCTGTTTTTGCCTCAAAGCCATCCAGCTTGCTATAGAGCCGTCCTGTTTCTGCAGGTAAGGCCTAAGGCTTTCTTCCTCTGTTGTGGCCAACTTGGGTGGCTCCCGTCCTGACTCTGGGCTCTCTGAGAACGAGTCATCTTGTTCGCTAGATGTTCCTGCCTCGGGAACAGGTGTCAGGCTTTCAGGCCTTAATAGGTGCTTTGCTGTGGTTTGGTACCTGGGGTACTCAGCCTCACTTAGCAACTGTTTCAAATTGGTCTTGGACCACATTTCAGGGGCCTCCATGTCTGATGGGCTCCCATACTCCTCAGCAGTCGTTTCTGCCTCCTCTGTACTCTCCCCTCTCTGGATGTCGCTGCTCTTGCCCTGAAACTCTGAGCAGCTCTGTTGCTCATCTGGATTCTGGTCTATCTTGAACTTCTGTTCCAGGTGCAAATTCAGATGTTTCTTCAGCTTCTGATTGGTGTTAAACAATTCTTCGAAGGCAGACTCGAGCTCTTTGTGCCACTGATTCTTATTGGTGTACCTGCACGGCGACCCCTGGGTTGTGGTCTCCTGTCTGAAGGTGGAGCTGAGGAGCAAGGGTTGTTCTAAGTCAGCTGTTTTGTCCTGCAGACTCTCATCTGTAGAGTTGTGATTCATGTTCTGAGCAAAGCGTGAAGACCCCCTTCTCATCAGCCGCCTCCCCTCCCGGGGTACTTCCTCCACGCACTCAGTTTCCCCAGCCCCAGTCAAGAGTGGGTTGAGCTTTACCAGGTCTGCCCCTCTGCTCACCCGAGGGCCCAAGGGCTGGTAGCTGCCATTGCTCTTACTCGAAGGCACCCGCTTCCCTTTACACTTCTCACAGGTTTTTGGGACCCGGACTTTGGTAGAACCCTGTCTCTCTGAGCATGTTGCTTTTTTCCGGGACTTAGGGTGTTGCCTGGGGTGCTCTTCCCGGCGGCCCTTCTCCTCTCTAAATGCTGCTCTGTTTCTCTCCTTAGCCCTCATATGTTTTGCTGTTCCTCTATGGCTGTGTTCGTCCAAGTTGAAGTTGTTTCCCGTGGCCCGCCCTGTTGCTTCATCCAACAGACGGGCTAAATAGAGGCGTTCCATGTCTCTAACCTGCTGCAGCCGCGCCTCCTGCCACTCTACCTTCAGCTCCTCAGCCAGGCGCTGCAGCTGCCGCGTTTTCCACTGCTGCAGAGTGACGTCACCCTTGTCTCGGACTTGTGTCAGTTCAGGCTTCTGCCTCAAAACTAAGGCTTCCTCATCAGAAGAGGGGCTCAGCTCAGCGGCTCGCTCCATGTCTCTCTCCATTTCTGTGAGTTTTGCAGACACACTTGCAGGCAAAGGTGGCCGTAGCCAAGGAAGAGAGGCTGCGGGGTCCGGGGCACCCGCAAAGACGACGAGAGAGTCACAGCAAATCTACAAGGCCAGGAGGGCATAGGCCGCTCTGGACAGCTGGAGAAAAGTGTGCAAGACCCTGGAGACAAGTGTGCAACGGATTCTCAATGCAGGATACACTCAAAAACACGCCCAGCAGATCTCTCCTCTGCCCCTGTCCCCTAGCACCCGTTCTAGCCTGAACACTCTGGATAGGAGCCTGTGGGGGCATCTGTTTCCTAAGAGTGTGACTGCAGATGCCATCTGCGGTGTTCGGACATGAGTTTTGGTCATCACAACTGGAGGGAGAAAGCGCTACCAATCTGGCTGGGGACAAGCCACGGACGTCAATAAACATCTTAAAAGGCACAGGGTGGCCTCCTGACAAAAAAAAGTGACAGCAGCACCTAGCCTGAGAGCCCTCCACCCCAGTTAGGACTCAGGTGTTGGGGGAGGGTTGCAAAAAAGGGGCCGGTGAGGACAGACCTGGGAAGGATGGGTGGGCGCTATGGCCATGGAGCCTAGCCTGTCGTGAGAGAGCTGCCTGTAGGTGAAGATGAAGGGGCAGGAGAGGGAGGAGCTGCAGGCAGGGTGTGTGCAGGGGCCTGTGTCTAAGGATGTGTGCTCATACATCTGTGTTACACACCTCTATGCCCAAGAGCAGAGGTGTGCAAGAAGGGGAGAGCATGTACATGCACGCTTGTTACTTGGATCCAGTACAAACCAGAGATGCAGGCACATTTATCTATGTGCATGTCATTGAGAAGAGGGGTACATTATGCAGGCATGTGGTATGGGTGAATGCTTGCTTGCTACACGGATCTAATACAAACCAGACAGAGAGGAGAAATGTATGTTACATTGTATCCCGATACCGGGCTTGCTACTGTGAGGTTATCTGAGGACCACTGTGTGTACCTGTGGCATAGGAAAGGCCCGTGCTTTGCCAGACCTTTCTAGAGAAGTTGTGCTTCCCGAGGACAGAGTCCTGTGGCCACTTGGACACTATGGTCTGCGTGGAGAAGAGCCCCCAACTGCCCTTTCTTTTCATCCCCATAGAAGCAGGCTGACCAGCTCAAGCTGATGTCAGTCACAGCAACCAGCAACCAGCTCCTCTGAGCACTGGGCAGCTATGATGTAGGTTTCCTTTTTGGAGGTAGGGATCTCCCTATATAGTCCAGGCTGGCCTAGAACTTGTAATCTTCCGGTCTCCCTCCACTCCCCACATGCTGAGCTTATAGGCATATACCACCACACATAACATAGATCACTTTTTTTTTTGTCTAGTAGCCCTGGGAGGCAAAGAGCTATTATCATCCATAGTTCACAGATGGGGAAGCTGAGGCAGGGAGCAAGGGGAACACTGAAGCCAGAATATCTAGCTGGAAAGAGGCTAACAGACTCTCTCTGACTGGGTAGACCACAAGGCCTTTGGCCAGTCACATGATCACTGACACAGATATATATGTCCTTGTGAGAGCTCCTTGCTCCAGACTAGGCAATGAGAAGCACTTTCTTAAACCAGCAGCTGATACCACACCCACAAGCCTGCTGACCACCATGGTGGCCAAAAGGAGAGAATGAGAAGAAGCCGTGAGCCTCAGCTCAGGAGCCAAAGTGGAAATGGTTCTCTGGCAGCTGGGGGCCCACACTCCAAGGACAGGGACCCTTTCTTCACATCACATACAAAAATTAACTCACAGTCGATCCTGCACAGATGTAATGCCAAGTCTAAGATTATAAATGTTTAGAAGAACACAAGTACACAAGTATACGTATTCGTGGCCCTGGCTTAGGCAAAGATTTCTTAGATCAAACAGGAAAAACAAAGTAGCGAAAGAAGAAATTGATAGATGAAGGCCATGAGAAGGAAAGCAGCATGCTTTGAGATGCCATGATCGAAACACCTTCTGCAGATGCCAAGGTTTTCCAGACACACAGACCCAATAAGAGACTCCGGTACACAACACTTGACCAGTCCCTAAGCAGACAGCTTAACTGTAAAAGTGGCTGCAGAAAGATGGCTCGGCAGGAAAAAGAGCTTGCTGCGTAAGCCCAACAACTTGTATTCAATCCCCAGGGTCCTGTGAGGGAGAGAACCGACCGCCGGAAGTTCTCCTCTCACCTCTGCATATGCATGGAGGCATGCACATGTGCCCATCATAAACACACAAAAATGATGTCTTAAAAAGATACAAGTAGAGCTGCAGAGATGGTTTGGGTTCAGCTCCCCGCGCTCATGCTGGGGTGGCTCACAAGGGTCAGGAACTCTAGCTCCAAGGATCTAACGCCTTTGGCCTCCATGGATCACATGTACATCTCACCACCTTACCCCTCCTCCCCGTTCCCCCACTCTCCCATTCCCCCACTCCCCCCCCACCCGCCACAATGTAATTAAAAACAATGTTTCTGAAAGAGAGAGATACAGAAAGGCACTTCCCCCAAGAAGACAGATGCACCACTAAGACAGCGCATCAAAAGATGGCCAAGAGCCACAGGCACCAGAGAAAAGCAGGCTGTTACTGCTTCCTGCCCTCAAGGATGGCGACAATCAGGAGCCAGGGAAACTGGAACCCTGCACCCTGGTGGTGGGTGTGTAAAATGGGGCAAGGCACGTTGTCAACAGTCTGGCACTTTCTCTGTTTCTCTAGGTCTGTTGGGTAACCTGGAATTACCACAGCTAAGTCTTTAGCTAGGAGAAACGGAAGCTCAGAGAGGCTGAATGACTCAGATCCCAGAGCAGCTGGGTGTAGATGGGTGTCTCATACCCAAACCCAAGCTTTACCCACCGGGCACAGCCACAGAGGTGTTGCGAGGGGTGGGGAGGGTCTGTGTCTCTGGAACTATTTTTCTGATGGCACCAAGCCTACATAAGGCATGAAGTCTGTTTCTGAGCCTGGAGTCACTTAGTCCTTTTTAACAGGCGACAACCACCAAGACCTGCCATGTCTCTGCCAACCAGAGGTGCCCCCATCCCAGTCAGTGACTCTCATCCTCATGGAGAAATCTTTGGGATAAGCTTTGAAAAATTATAGCTAGCTCTACAGTTCAGGAATCTATGTCCCCATGACAACTGCCAACCACATCCCCAGTGCCTTTCTATGATCTTTCCTGGGCCCCTTTCCCATTCTATGTTACCAGAGGACAGGGCTCCCCTTGGATTCCTGGAGGGTCCTTACTGAGCCTGAGAGGGCCATGGGGAAGCACCTGGTCACCTGTTGTTCTCATCAGCAAGTCCCCAGTGTCATCCACAGCCACCACCAGCACACACCTGAGCCAAGTGGGGTCAGCACCAGGCTGCTTGGAAGAGAACCCAATGCCTTTGAGCAGTTGGGTAGAGGAATGCCCCATGCCTGCCACAGTAAAATCAGGAACCAAAGTAACATAATCAGAAGCCACACAAGGAACCACAAGATGGGCTCACACCAGCCAGGCAGGGTCCCCAGCAGCAGGATATGGGGTCCGGCCGCTGACCTGTGTAGGTTCTGTCTCACTGTGCAGGAGAATTATCATAGTGCCCACACCATGTGGATGCCCAGGTCTGCCGCCTCCACATTCATGAGACGAGTAACACAGCTAAATGGTGGCCACCAGGCCTTCTACATTCTGGGTTTTTTCCTGACAAAGCTGCAGCACCTTCCTACTGCTGGGTACACAGTGGCCACAAGGATAAACCCATCCATTGTAGCTGACACAGGTCAACAACAGCCAAGAGCTACCGCCTTCTAGGGATGCCAAGGTGACCCTGGAAGCGTGTGCCCTTTTAGAGATGCTTAGCCAGGCCAGGTGATACTTGGGGAGGCAGGGCCAAGTGGATTCAACTGGGTTGTTGCATCAGTAACCACAAAGCCAAAAAGTCGTACAGCAGGACGACTTTTCGTCACTCCCAGGCCTCACACATATCCCCTCGTCTGTCTGGAGATGCATCATGGACATGGGTTAGTTGAGACTCAGAGAGGTTGGGTAGCTTACCTAAGGCCAGCCAGCCCCTACCCAGCAGGCACCAAGGTCTCAAATCTCAGCAGACAGACCCTGATCCAGACTCCTAACCTGCAGGAGCAGGAATCAGAGCTGGGAGTTTCAGCTCTGGTCTGAGTTTTGTTTCCTGGCTGCTGCTGAGGCCTGAGGCGAATTTGTGTGTTTTCTGGGTGTTTCCGTGGGACACAGTGGTGCCTCTAAGTTCGCCAGATATTCTACCTGTTGCCTTTCAACAGCTGGCTCTCTCCCTCGCCCAACAGTAGGTGAGCCCCTAGGACTTCTTGCAAGCCTTCCTATCTCCCATCCACCTCTCTGCCTGCACCCTGCTGCAGCCTACACTGGCCCCTGACCAGCAAGTCTCCAAATACCGTCCATGGCCAACAGGCTCTACCCTAGGGAGACGCTACCCCAGCCTGTAGGACAGCAACAGGATCCCTTCTTGCTATCCTGGCAGCTCCAACCCCAGTGCCCACTGCTGCCCAGCACCTTAACTGTGCCCATGTGGGTTCTTCATGAGATAGACGTGCCCACCCCCACATTCTCCACCTGTATCTCCAGACTCCTGCAACTCCCCTGCCTGGGACACCCCACAACAGTAGCTCTCAACAATCTGCACACTCGGGACTCAGACATCAGCATTTTTGGAACATAGAGACCGTTATAGATTAGTGGCATGCGCTAGCGGGAACATCTCTACACAGCTCAGCTTTGCAGTCTTATGCATGCAGTCTGACACTGCTGTATCGCATGAGAGCGCTGGCACACAGCACACACAGCACAATAAAGCAACGCTCTGTGTTTTCTTTGGTTCTTTGGGACAGCATGGGGGACACCCCAGGACTCCTAAGATACACAGAACAGGGTTATCTTAAATTAAGTGACACCAAACCAAGTGGGCTTAGTAAGTTAATATTGTGTGGCTGTAGCACCCTCAATGCTAGCTACGACTTTCCTCTTACCTCCTTTTTCTTTTCATTTTATTTTATGTGCATTGGTGCTTTGCCTGCAAGCGTGTCTGTGTGAAGGTGTCGGATCCCCTGGAACTTGAGTTACAGTTGGGAGCTGCCATGTAGGTGTTAGGAGTTGAACCTGGGTCCTCTAGAAGAGCAGTCAGTGCTCCCAATTGCAGAGCCACCTCTCCAGGTGCCCCCCACCCCACCTCTTCTACAGAAGCCTGGCACCACAAGAATAAATATCTAGCAATTGAATCTGACATAAAAAGCAATGAGGAGTACAGGGACCCGTGGCCCTAGCTGGTGTCAGGGACCCGTGGCCCTAGCTGGTGTCAGGGACCCAAGCTTTTGACTCTAAGCTCACACATCCTAAAATACAACACTCATGGGGTGGTGATGACCCACAAGTAAGAAAATCAGCTGCCAGGCTCCATCTCAGACGGTTCTTGTGTGGCTCTGTTGAGATTGGGTCTCACTCTAGGCTAGTCTGTAACTTGAGACCCTCCTTACCTCAGCCTTTCCAGGGCTAAGATTATAGGCCTTGTGCCACCAAGCCCAGATCACAGTATTTTTCAACAGAGTGTGTTCCTAGCCAAATCTGACATGACAAAATGGAAGAGGAATACATCCAAATCTCACCAAATTCAGCGATTAGTAGTGTGGAGGCTTGGGAGACCAAAGAACTGCCTGTGGCTGGGAGCCACATAGACACCCAAAGCACCAGTATGGTTTCTACCTGCAGCCAGAGAAGAATCTAACCTGTTCTGGACAGCCTAGACAGCCCTGGACAGCCTTGGACACAGAGGGACATTGTGGTCATAGTACTGTTGTACCCTGTCTGCACAGCCAGGATGCCCCAGCAGCAGAAGAGAGGGTCTGTGCCATTGAGAATGGTACCTGGACCTAAGGGAGCTTAGCCAACATCTAAGATGAAGACAACGGTCAAGGTACAGGAAACTAATGGACAGACGTGGGTCTATGACTTTAAGGAATGAGGAGTATCGATGAACGGACAAGTGACAAGGTCACAAGATAATTAAAGGCACAAGAGGGACTGAGGAGATGGCTCAGTCAGTAAAGCTCTTGCTGTCTCAACATGAAGACCTGAGTGTGGGTCTCTGGCACCCATGTAAAGTAGCTGGGCACGGCAGCTCATGCCTGCAACCAGTGTAGGGGAGGCAGAGACCGGTAGGTAGATCCTCTGGAGCTCACAGGCCAGCCAGTGGATCCAAACTGGTGAGCTCCAGGTTCAGTGAGAGACCCTGTCTCGGAGTATATGGTAGAGAGAAAGCAGGGAAGACACCTGATATGAGCCTCTGGCACGTATAAAACCCAACAAACAAATCAAAAGCACAGTGTGAGCCAGGTCTGGTGGCACATGCCTTTAATCCCAGCACTCGGGAGGCAGACACAGGAGGAGGGCCAGCCTGGTCTACAGAGTGAGCTCCAGGACAGCCAGGGCTACACAGAGAAACAGGAGATGAGAAAGAACAGCTGGACAAAGTTTTGGAAGAGCAAGGAAGAACCAGACGTGGATAACTTTCTCCCAGAAGGTTCTGGATTAGGAGGAAAGCAGGATGGAAGAAGGGGACGCCAACAAGGAACTCAACGACGAAAGCCAGAGGCCTCCGCAGGCCTGAGGAGCATGGAGGAGTCTGGGTGGCATGCTATGTGCCCAGGAAAGGATCTGAATGCTGTTGCCTCAGTCCCTCATCTGTGAAGTGTGTGATGGCAGCCTCCCCCATCACTGTGAGGACCACCCAGATGCACTGCCAGTCATGTAGGGATAGGGTGGTACTTACCGTGTGTGTCTCCAGATGACCAAGCCAAACCACCGAGGAGGACACATTACAGGGAGGCAAGGGTTGGCCGGGCAAAAGGAAACACTTTCCAAAGGGCTGTCTTGAAATCATTGGGGAGGCAGTGAGACACCCATCACTGAAGGCATCCAAGCCAAACCCAGGTGAAATGAACATCAGAAATGTTTTTAACCCCATTTCTCTGAGTTCTAGCTTCTATGCCTCAGAGTGTGTTGTCCCGTACCCCATTTCTGGCACTTCCTCACCTAGCTAAGGTCTAGAGGGGTCATTCCTAAAGTTGCTGGGCTGGGTGGAGTAGCAGAGCCACCAACTCCGCTAGGCGAGGGCCTGGTAAAAACATAAGCCCTGACTAAGATCACAGCAGGTTTTTCTCCAAATCCTAGGGGTGTGGCTACATATCGACATTTTACCATCTCCTCAAGCCCCACTGGGACCGGGTGGGCTCTACCAGGCTAAGAAAGTTGGGCAGCCAGCTAAGGGGGTGAAGGACAAGCTCATATTTCCAAAGATATACCTTGTCGCAAAGCTGACCTCTGACCTAAGAATTTGGGCATCCACC